AAAATACAAAAAAAAAGATTAATTAAAATGCAGCAATGTTTAGCTTTCATGTAGTTCAGCTTCACCTCATTACTTCATTAATTTTTTTTTGGTATTTATTAATTAATTTATTTTTTAATATTATTATTATATTTAGAATTTAAAAAAATTATGGAATTAAATCTAAAAACAAAATTAATCCTGTGAGATTAAAAAACAATATATGTATATGAAATTTTTAAATTGTTGTTGTATTGTAAATTTATTTATTAAAATGGAGAATTTACTGTTCTCCATTTTCAATATATCAAAAATATTTGGTAAAACAAATTGAGGCATATCACAAGGATGTTTAAACAATTAATTGTTATTGTTTCAATTTTTGAATCTATGTAGTTTGAATATTTACATGGGTGTAGTTGTTGAGAACATTAATTAATTAATTAATTAATATTATTTTTTTAATTTTTTCGTGTTGTAGTCTAAGAAAAATAGTTGTAATGAGATGTTATATCATTGAATTATTTTTTAAAAAGAATTGTTTGTATGTTTAAATTTATTCTGTAACTCCTGTTCTTTTAAATGTTTATGTGAATGTTAATTAATACATGTGTCTTAAAGACATTTAATTATTATTATTATCATTTGAAAATGTTGTAAGAAAAAAGGTTATTTGAATTCGTGAAGCACAGACATACATACACACCACAGATACCTTTGTATAAAATGTTGTGATAAATGTTTTTGTGTTGTTATAAGTTGTTTACTTTGAGCAAAAAAAAAACCAAAAAAAAAATATATTAAAAAAATCAGTATCTTTGCACAATAAATTTATCTTTTCGTCACAAATTTTTGTCCAGTTCGAATTTTTATAACCTAAAATAAATAAATAAATATATATATATAACATCTTGCCATGTTTTTTTTTAGTGCTGAATTGTATATAATTCAGTTGGAAGTTGGATGTGTGAATAAATTTAAGTTGAAAAAAAATTGAGTAAATTAATTAAAAATAGAGTATTAGTTAAATAGAATAGTAATTTTAATAATATATGTATATATAACATTTCAGATTTAAGTGAATTAAATTGAGTGAAGAATCTTATTTATTTTAGGAGGCATTTAAAAATTTTTGGCTTCAGTTTGAAGTTGGATGTGTAGAAGTATAAAGAATGGCTAAATTGCAACTGAAAACTTATACTAATATTTTTTAATTATTAAATTTTCTGCTTCAGTTTACAAATTTTTATATTTTGATACATCCAACTTCAAACTGAAGCCAAAAAGTTTTCTATGTTTCTTCTTATTTTCTCCTAAAAATCTGGCACTCTTCACTCAGTTTTATCCATTTAAAGTGGATTATTTTTATATTTAATAAAATATATTTTAAGAAGATATAAAAATATTAGCCTCAAATGAATCGAATTGAGTGAACAGTTTTTTTTTTAGGAGAAAATAGAGTAAGAAATAAAGGTTTTGTTTTGCTTCAGTTTGAAGTTGGGTGTGACAAAATTATGAAAATGGATAAATTAAAATTGAAAATATTAAATAAAATATTTTAAAAATAGCATATTAGTTAACAATTGTATTAATTTTAATAAAATATAGAAACATATCAGCTTCAAATGGGTTAGAATTGAATGAATAGTGCCTTGTTTGGGAGAACAGAGCCAAGAGCCAAGAGCTGAAGGAGAGAAGAGAAAGAAAATGACATCAGTTTTACTTAAAGGAAGCAACAGAAAAGAAGTTAATTTTAGAGACGAGTTGCAATAAGGGAAAATAGTGAAAAGAGGATCACATCCGAAGAAAAACAAAATAATGAAAGGAACACTCAATTAGTAAAGTGATGAAAGAAATAGTTTTAATTAGTAAAATCCGTTTCAAAGAAACAAAAACTTAAAAGTGTATATATTGCCAATAATCAAAATAAGAGCAGAAATCTTATTTTGATTAAATAAAAAGAAATAATATTTCCATTTTTCGTATTAAAGAAAGTATCATTAGTTAGATAACCTAGAGAGAGAGAGGAGGAGGAACTTTATCTTGAGATAAAAATCAATATCAGTTAATAAATAAAATTGCTATCGATCATGTTTGATATATGGGGAAAAATAACAGATTTAGTCAATAAAAATAATAATAATAATAATAAAATAAAATCAATATCGAATACAAACGTTTATTTTACGAAAGATAATTTCATATTTAATAATTTCCTGATATGTTTATCCCTGGAGGTAGAAAATGCTTTTAATTTTTGAGTTATAGAAGATTTATTCTATCAACTTTCATTCAAAGGCACTTAAATGACGCTCTTTCGTACGTATTTACCCGAAACAAAGTCTTATCACAGAGCTTCTTAATGATACTTTTAACGGATTTTTCCTAATTGCATTATTAAAAAATCGATTATATTGGTTATAAATCTAAAAATTATTAATTTTAAGTTCATTACACATTCATTAATATTGGTTAAATTTATTAAGCTATGATTTAATTTTCAACGTTGTTTAATTATGTAGCGAATCGCTGATTATTAACTTCGATAATTAATAAAATATACTAATAACGAACTGACTCATTTAAATTTTATGAATTATACTGAAAAGATATACGACGTATATAAAGTACAACCTCTAAACTACGGCCACTTACAGAAATATTTAAAAAGTGGCCATTGTTTGAAGGTTATTTTGTAAGTACTTTTGTTGAGTATTTCTGAAAAATGGCCGACAGTTTTATTTTTGATAAGTATAGATTGTTCTTTTGTTGCTGATACTTCGAATTGCAAACTTAATTTTTGTTTAAAAAATAATAATAATAATAAAAATATTTAAACGTATCTAAATAAGGATGAATAATTTAGTTAAACAAAGAAGATAAACTTCAATTTTTTAATTTGAAAGGTATCACTTTTGTCTAATTAAATTAAATATGGGAACATCACGTCTTGTTAAACAAAGGAGACGAATAAAAATAAATTAACTTGCAATCAAGAAAAAAAATTTGAGAAAAATCACTTTCGATTAAATGCAATTGGGTGAAAGAACAGCCTTCAGTTAGTTTTTGTAGGCGATACAAAAATGTNATATATATATATATACAATCTGGCAGAATACAAACTAATTTTTAAATTGGCGCCATGCTTAATTTTTTAAAAGAAGCCAAGCGACTAATAAATTGTAATAAGGAATAACGAATGTCAGTGATGAAGCAATTTTTATATATCCAAATAAGCTAAATATCAGTAATATTCATGAGAATGAAATATAGGAAATATTTATAAATGAGGTTCGCTCGACTCGATTATACGAAGTTAACTTATTTGTGGTCATATATATTTGCTTATTGAAATATGTTTGATGGGCGTTTTAACTAATTGACGAATCGTATCGAAGAATCATAGCAATGTAAGTGTACAGTCAAACCTCTGAACAACGGCCATTGACGGGAACATAAAAAAAATGGCTGCCGTTTAGATGTGGCCTTTTTTGAGGCTTGACTGTAAAAGCCATTGACAGGAATATAAGTGTTTTGTATGTATATATAGTTTATCACACAAAAGCATCTAGCAAAGACGTGCATGGAAGCAAACTTCACAGAGTAAAGTAGCGGTTTTTAGCTTTTCTAAATTCAAATTTTAATGGATTTTTGTAGTTTTTGAAGCAAAATGTACGACTCAAAGCAATTTTCTTATTGATAAACAATAGCAGTCTGTATAGAATTTTCTAAAAATCAGTGGTCTTAATTTGAACCTCATTCAATTGATAAACAACCTGAATTAATTCAGTTTGTTTGAGATATTTATATTATTAAATAATAATTATACTTTTTGTATAATTCATCCGATGTCAGGTCATATATTTTCAAAGAAAACCTTCAAAATTCGTGTTTTTGCATAGTAAATAAAGGAAAATAATATCTTTTATTCATGTATATGATTCCTTCCTATCAATCAATCATCGGAGATAAGTTAATATAAATAAAGAAACGTGAATTTGAATATTTATATACTTTGGTATACTGAGAATTTGCTCTTTTCATTTCAATAAATAGCGAAATTCCTCACAAAGAAGGAATAAATCCAGATAGAACCAGTGCTTCATTAACGCATGGTCATATCCATCTATGACCGAAGACCTGACTTTTTCAGAGGCCTCACCTCACTGTTCCTTACCATTTTCTTCATATGTTTATATGAAATGCTTCTAAATAAATTGGATCAAGAGCCTCAAAAATCTATAAATTTAAACCCATTAATTTAAAATAAGAAGCTTTAATTTTGATGGAAAGATAATGATTTAATTATTAGATTGAAGAGGTAATTTACTAAAATTTTGATTATCGGTTACATGATTAATTAAATGAATATTTTAAGAATTGAAATGGAGTTAAATTGTGATAAGTTCGTCAGATTATTAATATGCGCAGAAAATAAATAAATAAATCCATAATTTATTCGAATTTTGTGAATTTTATTACTCAAACAATCGGAAATAAAACTAGGAAAGGAAAACTCGACGCTAGCATGACTCGAAAGAAATTATCATTAATATACGTCAATGCCTAATTATTTGATGTTAATTTCAGTGATCACCATTAGAGGGCTACCAGATTAAAATAATAAGTGGCCCTCTGGTGAATTATCATGTTCACTAGAGTAATATATCACGTGATTGTCAGCCATTTGTCGGAGTTTCAATTTAAATTTAAAATATTTATTTCGATTTGAAATTTATAGCATTTTTTCCTTTTCTTTTCAATGCATTCTATTACTTTTTGTAAATTTTGTATACAATTAACAATGTATCGTAATTATATAAAATTAAATTGAAATTTATATTTATGTGTACAAATAACACAATTAAAGTATCAAGGTGCATATCTAAACAAGATAATTACTGTTACTAATAATTATATATTTTGTAATTTTCGTGTAATGATCATGTTAATGAAATATTAGAATGGAAAATAACAAAACACAATTCATCATATATTAACTTTTCGGCCTGTGGGCACTAAGAAAGCCTTTTTTTTTCAGGCCAATCATCGGTTTTACCAGATCCACAATAGAGACAGCCGGATGGTGAAGGACGTGGCCCAATATATCCGTCCATGAAAAATTCCTGGGATTTGATCTCGGGTACCCCAGAGCGGCAGACTGACGCTTAATCACTTCGGCCATCCGTTCGTCTATAGTTAATAGCGAGGCTGCGGCCGAAGTTTTCATTTCTAAAACGCGAACGTCGAACGTCGAGCGCCGCTTACAAGATAGCGCCGCTCGACGTTCGACGTTCACGTTTTAGAGATGAAAACTTCGGCCGCAACCTCGCTTATATTAAATTTTTTTTATGCAATATATTCTCGCTTCTACTGCCTAATGGTTCCTAGAAAACCGCCATAAAGCGAGCCTTATTTCCCATGTATTCTATGTCAGTAATTGAGATTCGTTCCTACAAATAACAATTTTAACTAAAATCATACCATAATGATATGAAGTACGACATTTAAATATAGCAATTTGCAAACATAGCATAATACTGTAAAGAGAGTCTATTGTTTATAAAGAAAGATTTTTCTAATTTTCCTGTTAAGAGGCATAAATTAAATAAATTTATTTTATTTACTAATTACTGTACTTACTGTACTAAATTTTTGAAATATCTGAAAAATGATTAACATGCCTGCTGAGTATCAACATACTCCATAACTGCCAGTACACTTGCTATTAAGATAATAAATGCTAATGTTACGCAAACTAGCAATATATAAAGTACCATCTTTTCGGCTTAACTGGGGTTGCATAATAGCACCGGGCAGAAAATTACCTTGCCAAAGCCCTGGGGGCCTCATATCAGGACCATTCTGGTTGTTCGTAATGACAGATCTAGATTCCTTCATTCTAGATCATTCTAGAATATTATAAAAATTTTAAACTCAAATATAAGTCACTTAAACTCGTTACACACGTTTACTTATTCAACAAATGGCCTACGTTTGATCTTATTGACTACAAAACTCAAAATTTACACTACAAACATAATTTTAAAAAATTAGACATTATGCAAACATTCCATTTTTATTAATTATCTGTTTAAAATTCTTAACAATCGTGGGGGAGGGCAATATTGAGTTAACTCAATGTGATGATTTTGATCAAACAAACGTGACATAAGGCACATCCACATATTTACAAATTGAAGCACTCTCATTTTGAATGAGCACTCGTTTATTGTGCTAGAAAAACATCTAATAAAAAATATTGTATTTAAAATCGCACACATTTTCGCACACATTTTTAGTATTTTTGTCCAGTATCGGAAGAATGTATGGAAGGCGATCTACTTTTTTCTTCGGTGGGTGTTTTTATGAGTCCAATTTCTCTTCCGAACCACTTGACTTTCTCGATCAGTTGCTCCTGCATCAAATTAATGCACATACTGACCAAAGCCATGCCAAGCAACACGTACGCGCACGTTGCAACCATGGTCATCGATGCGGCTGTTTTGAAACAAGTTATTTGTTACATGACAACTCATCAAAATACCATTTTAATTAAGCAATAATAATAATAATAATAATAATAATAATAAAATTAACTTACATACTCCATCCTTATAGTTTAAGAAGGATTTTCCTGGTGTGTAATCTCCAAATCCTATGGTTGTCAGGGTTACAAAGGTAAAATAGGCAGCAGACAAGAGATCCCAACCTTCCCAGAAACCGAATAATATGGCTCCAATTAAGATATACATGGATATTAAGATCAGGTTAAGTACGATAGGAACCACAACCTGTTAATATAAAAATTAATGATTAATCTATTTGAAATTTATGGTATTTAACATTTGTTAGGCGTGTTTTTAATAGTAACGTGTTAAATTAATTAACTGTATGGTTATTACACTCTTTGAATTGCTAAAAGTTCGAGATAAAAGTAGGCCCTAAATGAAAGGCTAGTAGACAAATGGTTTGCTAAGCCCTTTCTGCAGGGCCTACTTCTACTTTCATCACAGAAAATTTAACTGTGATAGAATCTTCAACTCACATTTATGGGGGCCTCAAAAATATTTTTGAGGCCCCCATAAATGCAATGGGTTCTAAGAAATGCAATGCTTAATACACATTTCTGGGGGCCTAAAAAATATTTTTGAGGTCCCCAGAAATGTGTATTAAGCATTTCTTGTATATTAAGAGAAAATAAATCTTTATTTATTGACAAATTTTATTATTTAAAAAAATATAAAATACAATTTTTGAAGCCATTTTGTTTATTTAAATTTAATTAGGGCCTCAAAATATCCGTGTTTATTATTTCAAAGAATTTACATTCGATAATTTTTATTTGTAATCATAACTTCAAAACAAATCTTCACAAAATTAATTTACAATCAAATTAAGTCCGTAAGAATTCTCTTAAAATATAAACAATTCGTTTAATTGCAATATTAATTTAGATCTCTCTCTTGATTTATTTCAAATTAAAATATTTTGAAGACCTTAAAGATAAATAAGTTCATTATTTCTTCGAAAATTGATTAGTATTTAATTTATTTGCATAAATAAGATCAATTTTAATTGTGATTATTCTCACTTTCAACTACAACTATCCATAGATTTTAATTACCGTACACTTTTTCTTATCTTTAACTACAATTAATTCTACATTTTAATTTAAAATTATGTTTATTTTTAATTATAATTATCTAGCATTTTTATTTACAATCATTATTACAATTTAATTACAATTATCCTATGTTTCAATTTGCAATTTATCCTTACATTTAAATTTCAATTACCTTAACTTTTCGATTTGCAATTGTCTTTACATTTTATTTATAATTATCTAACATTTTAATTTACAATTATTATTACAATTTAGTTACAATTATCCTTATATTTTAATTATAATTATCATTAATTTTCATATATTTTAATGTTTTCTCACCTAACTAAGCAGTGAAACGAATCGTATTTAACAAGTTTCTTGTGATATATTTTTAAAATAAATTCAATTTTTTTTTTAATATTTGAAAAATGACGGAAGAAAATTCTTTATCTCCGTTAATTTCCGTTTAATTATAATTTACGATGCAAAAATAATGACAACAATCTTAGATTTCAAAAAGTTGCAAGCATCGTTGATAGAAATTCGTAATATAATACCTATCTATATACATATATACATTAATATTATGAAAAATTTACATTTTTAATGAAAAATTCTTGTATAAATTTAACCAACAATGTTTATGTAATGGTACAGATCGATTAATTAACAAACGGGAAAGAAAAATGTCATAAAATAAAAACCAAAAAATTAAAGCCGATTATAATTAGAAGTAATTAAATAAGTTTTTATTAATAATTGTCTCCACGAGATGAGTAAATTATTAAAAAAAAGTAGATAAATTGTAAACAGGAGCAGATTAAATGGCGAAAAATTGCTGCGCTTCCATCAGAACGATCCTGTTTAGCACTCATTTCGGATCAAACAGGCTCCTTCTGATGGAAGTGTATCTTTTTATGGCATCCATTAATAAAGCATAGATAGAAAATTGCTTAATGATCAGCCAAATGATAGTAATCAGAGGAGATAAATCTGATTTCTACTTCAAACAATCGCATTATTATTTGAAGATGACAGCTGAGAGAAGTAAAAGATAATCATTTTTATGCCTATACTTATGTTAATCAATATCCTATTTGAAGTACAGAAGAGTACTTTTGCAACATTCTACTAAATTTTATTAGTTTCATCAGTTCCAAAAGTTAAATTAAACTATATTAAAATAATAATAAAAAAAATTCTCGTTCTCTTCAAGAAACTTAGGAGGGTACAATACATTGCAGAATGATATACATTAATTTATATTCTATCAATCTGTATGATATGTTGATGCTTACGCACAAAGCTTTAAAGCTTCTTCTAAGGAATAAGAAGCTTTAAAGTTCCCAAACCTCTTTGTTATATGCAATCAATTATGTAAATTAAACTACGCTCCTAAGCTTCTTATTCGTCTTCTACACTTCTTGTTCTATACGTGAAGCTTACGAGTTAATTTGTATTTTGTCTGTCTGATGTGTTAACGTTCTTAAATGTCTTGTGTGGAATAAAAAGCGTAAACGTGAAGCTCCAAAGCTCGTCTCATAAAGGAGTTGTATGAATTAAACTATGCTTTTAAATTTTGTGTATGCATTCTAAGCATCTGTTTACAAGAAGAAGGATTGGAGTGTTGGAAGAAGACAATGCAACACGCCAAAAGGGTACCTCTCGAGAGGATTTTCTATGGGAAACGTCCTTATTTAAATGTTACACACGTAAAAGAACTCCACGTGACCAGCCCTTTAATGGGGTGCGAACCCACGACCAACTAGCAGTGTTCAGTGGTATACAATCGGCCATTGGTAGGCCAGAACAAGAGTTAAGAGCCATAAAGAAAGCTATATTGTACTGTACATTGAAACACATTTGTATTCTGTTTATCTATCTTATTGTACAGTATCACAGTATATTTATTTGCCTTATTTTTTAAAATAAAACAATATTTTTTATTGTAAATAACACAACATGTTTAATAACATCATCCTGTAGATAACATAGAATAATAAGTTATGGTTTAAACATATAATTATTGATTTAAAAATATATCGAATCTGATGAATTAGCTAAAAATTATTTATATGTTTTATGCATGTAATTAGTAATTCCATTCTATAAAAGAAAACAAATACAGATCTAAATATCTTGTATAATTCCCTAATCGATATTAAGGATTTTCATTATATAATTAACGCAAATAAGGATAAAGAGCAAAGGATAATTAATTAATTTTAGGATATATAATAAGGAAATAAATATTTTAAAACATTTATTTCCATGCCGAGTCATCAATTTATAATTACATTGTAGAATGTCACATATTAATTTGTATTCTGTCTGTCTGTCTGATATGTTAATGATTTGATACAAATTTCGATAATTTAGTTCTCGAAAACAATTCAAATGCAAAATAAAATTAAATTATAAAGTTGTAAAATAATTATATTTTAAAACTTTAAATAATTTATTAGTCAAAATTAGGAAATTCTTTTGTAAATTCTAATTTAAAATTCTAGTTAAATATTAATATTGAGAACGAACAGACAACCAAATGAAATGAAGCCATTTATAGGTTTCATTATACAGCGTATATTCGAGTGTACTGTTTGTCTGTTCGTTTCCCAATTAAATGCAATTACATAGTTTAATTTAGTTGAGTTTAAATGTCCCAAAATTTCGAAATTTATAGACAAATAAGCAGATTTTTATATAAAATTTTGCTATTTTCTCTTAAAATAGAAGCCATTTGAATTATTTATAACCAAGATTATAGTATTTATTAGCATGCATCAAAGAAAATTGTCTTATATTTAAGTGTTTTATTACGAGCAAACATACTGACGAATGTTTAATTGAAAATTCTTACCTAATTTCCTTCTTTTAAATAAGTGAATTTTTATGCAAACCTCCGAACAACGGCCACCGACGAGAACGAATATGTCCGTTATTGGAGGTTCGAATGTGTAAGGATAGTTTATAAATATAAACTTTTGTAACGACTGTGAAATGGTCTACCAAAATGTTATCATATTAAAATTCATAATGCAACAATGTTAATTGGGTAAATTATTTTGTTAATGTACGACATAAAGTGTAAATGTTTCTCGGCTAAAGTTAAAAGTATCTTTATAACTTAAGATTTTTACATTTTTGGCTCATGAAACGTCGAGAAATGCAAAAAAAAATTTGGAGATTTTTCCTGTGTGTGTATGGGGGGGTCACTTTAAAGTTTAATAATTCTTGTGCCTTTTGTCGAAAATTTCTGAAATTTTGCAGGGAGGTTTATGTATTAGGGAGATTGATGATATTAAATTTTGGTGGTTAAAGGTCAACTGGGTGGAGAGATAGAAGGGTCGTATCTTGAACAGAGTCGGAATTAATGAAGATGCTACTCGTTATTGGCATTTAAAACGTTTTATAAAACTCATCTCTACCCTAAAAATTAAGGTTTTTGCCGTTTTATAATAATCAATAATATAAAAAGTTTTAAAATAAAATTTCACAATAGATGGCGTCACACATGATTTTAACTTTTCTGCCGGAAAAGTTAAGCAACTCGTTGCTGGATTTTTATATTAATTTTTCGAATTTATGTATGTATAAATTAATAAAAATTACATTTTTAAAATCATTAAAAGATAATATACAATTATTATTTGCGTTTACAACAATTTATTTGAACTTTAATTTAATCTGATACATCACAAGGTGTATATTTAATTTATTTTATGCATTATAGAAGACTACTTATTTTGTTTGGAGAGAATATTTTATTCACTAGTTATTAATTATTTATTCATCATAGAGAATAAATTATTTTATTAACTATTTTTAAATTTTATTGTTTATAGTCACTTATGTCCAGTGTTTCCCAGGAGAAATCTAATAAGGACAATTATTAAAGTGAAAACTATATTTAGTCTACAATTATGTTTATCACGAAGTGTCGGAGGTAGAAATCAGAAGAAGGGAAGGGTGTCGAGGTTGTATGATAGCATATATTTTATGCAGGGTCGTAGAGATTAGTATGAAAGATTTGGTGTAGATAGGTTAAAAGGTTTAAGAATTAATAGGGGATGAAACCAGAGGGAGGGGGAGGGTGCCAAGGTTGTATGATAGCGTATATTTTACGCAGGGTAGAGATAACGTTTAGATAGGTTAAAGGATTTAGTAGTGTATAGAAAACATAGAGATTTCTATTTTATGTAGACATAATATAATATTTTCCATACTGTCTGAAGTAAAATATTATTTCCACTTTCTTTATTCTTTTAAATGAAAAATGCTTAAATAGATTATTCTCATTTCCCTAAATTTCTCACAGGATAAACTTGGAGAAGATTCTTTATTATATACATAATTTTTTTTATACATGACACACATTTCAACTATGATTTTAAAGAAAGTTAATCTATACAGTAGTTGTCCACAAACAATAAATTTCTACTATTTCGTTAATTAAAGATATATCGAGAATTTCTATCTTGGTCTTGGTCTTGATTATGATTGATATCAAAACCAAGGCCGTGTTAAAGTGTTAAAATCATGAATGGCTTTCCATTCCCATACTAAAGCATGAAATAGGGCAGTTATTCTAAGTGTAAAAGATTTGGTTTCTTGGGAAAGTGTTCCGCTCCATCCCTCTATTCCTTTTATATCATTGAGATTGTTAGACACGCTTAAATGTACTCATAATTATATGTATGTAGATTTAACATCTCTAACGTAGATTTAACCTCCTCACCAGTGACTGAGTGAATAAAACTGAATGCTGCTAGATTGGTCGCAGATTCGGGCCTCACCAAACGGCTGTCCATGTGGCGTTTTCCCGGTTTTCTTTGCGTGCCTAACACCCAAATAGGGGATAAGTTTACTTTAGAAATCTTTCTCCTCTTGGCAGATTTCCCATGTGTTGTGTTACCTTATCACATCATTCTTACAATACTAAAGAGGGAAAATGTCTTCGAAACCAAGTCATCGAGTGGAACACTTCCGTAAGACATTTAAGGTAATTTAAAACTAGAAATAATCACATTGCAATAAGTGCACTGAACGCTCCTACACTCTAAAAGTTCGAATTCGAACTAAGAACAAAAACAAAAAAAAAAAAGATTAACTTAAGATTTATCCGCTAAATGAGATTAACCCCGAATCATTTAAGTGAATGACACATCACCACTGCACTTAAGAGGATTAAATAAATACTTATCCAATCTTTTTTCATATTCTCTACAAGATAAGCCATTTTTTCTTCATATTGAAAAATTAGTTCAGATATTATTAATTTAAGGTATATGACCAGAGATAAAGACATTTAGTTTTTAAGAAAGAGACAGCCATTTCCATCATTTGGTTACACCAATTGTGGGCCTGTTCGATGAGAAAAAAAAGGCCGTATTAGTGGGCCTCGAGACTAAATCCAGATTCAATTTTCTAGAATTTTATCGTTAAATTAACCCAACTTTTATTGAATTAACTCATTCGAATCTCCACCCCATCAAATAAATTTGTGTATAATTTCATAAAATGTTTTTAATTTTTGTCTTAATTATAATTATCTTCAATTTTTAACTACAATTATTCCTAGTTATTTTTACTTTTTATATACAATTAATTTTAGTTTCTAATTACAATTATCCTTAATTTTCATAGATCAATTACATGAAAACTTCTGTAATTTTTAGCATTTATTCCCAACCAGAATTACAGATTATTTATAATTTTTCGCATCGTTTATGAAATATTTTTTCATTGTGAAATTAATTTAATTCCGTAAAACAATGTTGAACGCACTTATTATTAAGAATTTTAAATTTGAAATCTCTCACATCTTTCTCCAGTCAAGAATTTAATGCCATGTAAATCAACTTAATTAATTCTCAAGATATTTTGCAGTTTTTATATTTATACTTCTTCACACATAAGTATTTAAATAGGTAATTTGAAATTTAATTAACTTGTAATTAATAAATTAATAATGCATTAAAATAAAAGATTAAATCTTTAAATATAATAATTTTTTTCTTTAATTTTTATTCAAATTCTTAAAGAAATTAAACATTAATTAATAAAGTCTTTAATTGTGATTATTTTTTAAAATTTTCTTTCTGTTTTTAAGTGTAATTTATGATTTTTCTGTAATAAATTTCTATTTTTTTTAAAATTAATGTAATTATTAATTAAAATAATTTATACACTTAAAATTAATTTTAATTAATTAACAATGTTTTCTGTTTTAAAAAAAAATCCACAAAATAATTAATTGATGTGCATGCATTTTTAATTATCATTTATTAAAAATAATATCGATCCAGTCGTAATTTTAATTATTAAAATCATCTCTGTTAAATCTATAAAAATTCTTTCGTAATTTTAAAGTTTATTCTAAATTTTTCCCTCCTTTAATTTAATTTAATTTTTTTTATATATTCTGTTTAAATTTATCTTTATATAGGGCTTAGAAATAACTTTAAAAATTTCTAATTTATCAGCAAAATATTGNCAAAATTTCGACATTAAAATTTAATAAATATATAAGGAACAATAAATATTTTTGGATATTTATAAGGATAATTGCTCTGATCTGCTTTACTAGAGACAATTAAAACTCTCAACAATCCTATTAATTCTGTGCGAATTCTATGAAAATAATTGCTTTAGTAGTGACATTAGGCAACATTTTGTAATGTGAGAGTCTTAGAAAATAATTATTACCCATCAGAACACAATTTAATAAGCATAATTTAATCCAGAAGTGTGGAACTTGAGACCTTCAGGCCAAATATAGCCTTTATGGCTTCTAGGCATGGTATAAATTTCATTTTTTTAACATGAATTCTGAGTTATAAGAGTATGTTTTTTGTTTTTTTTCCAATTATAATATTTACCTAAATATAATATATATATATATATATATTACCTTAAGTGCTGTATATATCTGTTCAAACTGCAATACAATATGTGCCTTGTAAGATCCTTCTGAAATGGGATACAGTCTTCTAATTAAAGAAGGTGTTCCACAATTGTGCCCTAAGAACAATTATTCCCAAAATATTCTAAACTTTTCTGAAACAATATGTAAACCTTAAGAAGAAAATTGCTTTGACAAGAGATTGCTATGAAAGAAGCATAGAAAATAATTGTTATTTTGATAAAATTCTGAGAACCCTTCCCTATGAATTATACAATTAAGATTTGAGTGTTCAGTGTTCAGAGATTCGACTAATTTGATTTACATTTTCGATATTTTCCTGAATAACTAACAGTTTAATCTTTATTTTTTTTGCATGTTTCTTAATTTTACTGAGTATTTCTACTCCCTAAAACATTAATTTGAACATTAAAGCGTGTTAAACGAGCCTGGAAAGGTTACTTAATACCCTAAATCATCTCAGAAGACCGCTTAATCGATCGAAAACTATTAACAAAGCTTTCATCAATAAACTAAATCGAAGTACGTTGAGAATTGACGATAAACTGCATTATCTAGCTATTACTAATAAGCTCTGTCATCTCTTAAAGAGCCGAATTGATACTCTTTAATAGTGATAAAAATAGCTTTACATTAATAGTAGCCATACTGAAAGATTATCCAACTTAACAATTATTTTTCTAAATATATATACGGATTAAATTAACAACGACGGCCTCTAAAATAAGTTATAAGACTTCTCTGCTTCTCTTCTTTTATTTTTTGATACACATCTGACACGGGAAAACGTCTCACGAGAGGGAAGATTAACCAACTAAAAATATCAACAAAAATAATGAATTTTAGTTTAAAATACTTGCCAAAGAAAGCATATAAAATAGATATTTACCTTATTTAAACGCTCAAAATATTTAATTAACGAGAGGGTGGCCCAAAAGTCATTTAACCGAAAGATAATTTAAAAATTATTTTCGTCCTAAATCGCTTCTAATTGTTCATTAATAAATATATTTTGTTTAACTCACTTTTGGACGGCAGACATTGTTATAATAAGATTTTTAAATGAACATTTAGCTGACTAAGAACAATTGTTTTCGAAAATACACCTAAATTTTTGTTGTTCAGTAGATTCAGGGATATTTATATATAAAAAAAATTACTATGATAGAATGCTTAAGCTAAAATTGCTATCTAAGCAGTCTTTTCTCATATATATTCTAATATTTTAAGTCCTTTACATAAATATTAAGAGCAATTTAAAGTATTTATCTAGTCCTTTGAGGTTCAACTAGTTTTAAGCACTTAGAATTAACAAAAATAAAATGATTAGGGATGTATTTAATTGTCTGGAATTCATTTAACAAAGTTTAATATCTAAATATTACCAGGAATTAAATATTTAAAAGGAAATTTTTTGAATGAAAAACATGGAAAAATAGACAGAGTAGAACAGATGCAGATTATGAAAATGTCAAATTATAAACAATACTTTAAATATTTATTTTTAATTAATTAATTTATTTAATTTAATTTAATTAGAGAAGAATAAATAAGTAAAATTAAACATAATAATTTCCTGCTTGATTTGTGACAAGCTTTGTTGAGTTCGTTAAGACTAATACGTTTAAAAATATATTTATTTATAATTTCAAAGGATAATTTAATTGAATTAGCTTATTAAGCATTACATTATAAGTTTTTAAATAAATTAATTTTATTTTACTTTACTCAAATGAAAATAATAATAATAATAATTCATTTTTATAAAATTAAATATTAGCCTTATGAATTGCAAGGAAATTAGCATCGTTTTTGTTTAAAGTTGCATAAATTTGATGTCTAAATAATTGTTTTTAATATAAAAACCTTTTATAGTGGTCTTATGGTACTGATTATGTATATATTAAGCCTAATTATGTTTCAATATATATTATATCTCCATTGTTTAACAATTTGTAAGTATGTAAAATGCATGTTTACCTCGAATGCTATTAATATAAACTCAAATAAAATGAACCTACCTGTGTTGTCGGCATATACTCTTCTTCACCAACTTCGTCGCTATGGAGAGGAGGTAATCTTCCTCCCATCTGAGCCACCATAAGTGGTGTATATTCGGCCCTCCTCCTACGAGCTCGACACCATCTACAGCACAAGCGACTGTATATCCAACGAAAACAGGAAGCCATGGCATCACCAATATTAGCTAAACACACTAAAAGTAAAGGTATCCCAACGATGGCGTATAGTATGGTGGCTAACTTTCCTAATTGAGTCACGGGAGCGATGTGACCGTAACCTGTAAAAAAAACAAAAGATAATTTGATTATTTCTCTGATAACACGGTATATTTTTACTATGGTATAACATAAAATAACATACCTATAGTCGAAGAAATGGTAACAACATAGAGCAACGAGTTACTAAGAGTCCAATCGTAATCCCACTCTTCTCTGACGAAAGTACCATCATAACCATAATCGGTGACGGCATCGATGATAAATTTATTCAAATTATCCAATTCCCCGTATACTTTTTCGTTCCACGACGCTTTCGAATCGTTGTTTATAGTGTGCCAATACCAAAAAAGATTCACTAAATAAGTTAGCGAATCATTAACAGTCAAAGAAATAACCTCTCTTTCTAATCTTCTTTCTTCTTCAGCCGGTTTCTCTACCCATACAAAAATATAAGCTCCGAGAATCGTGTAACCAGCAACCAATAATAACATGCCAACATGAGAAAATAAAATTCTGAAAAATAACTTAAAACAGCTAAAACCATTGTCGTCCGCCATCTTGTAAGATCTTCAATAACGTCTTCACTCATAGGATCGTCAGCCAACAGATTCTTTTATTGTATAGAGTGTTGCCTTGGTTAATAGTAAACAGAAATACGAGTAAAGAGAACATATCGATGCACATCTATCTCTTTGCTTCGGTTTCCACAACATAGACTCGGCCCTAAAATCGCGTGACCCTGTATAAATCAATAAAGGTAGCGGTACGAGGTACCATCCATCATGAATCTCACGAAATATCTATAAATGACTTTTTTTATATATATATTTTTGTGTACAGTAGAGGAAATTAATAATTTATACAGAAGATATTTTGAAAATACAGTAAACAAGTTTGTACAATTATTATTTATCTTTGAGAATTCTTTGTTCTTTAAATATGTACTTTGTCTTCGTCTTTGTATCAATTAACCTAGTTTAGCGGAAATTGTAATAGATTGAGAACAGCGATATTAAAAAGTTATACATTTATAATCTACCTTTACTTATTACATTTTTTTTCTATGAATTTTTAATTTATATTCTGATAAATTTAAAATTATGGAACAAGATTTAACCCAAATAAAACTTTATTTTTCGAAAAATTAATTTGTGTTTTTTCCCCTATAAATAATACAGTGTATGATAGCAATTATAGAGGTTAAAGTGCGAAAAGGTATAAAAATTAAAATCTCACTAGATACTTATGAATAGAAACGCCACATTGTCATCCAAAATGAGAACATGTCTTCCTTGTGGTTGACATATGAAGCCTGAAGGGCATGCTCTTCATTTTGACTTTAAAAAGCGTCCTCCCTCTATTGAAACATATTCTTAATGTCTACCTTTTTAGAATAATTCGTCCTTCATTTACAATTTTTTTATCTGATAAGCTTACTTGGACACGATGCGCCCAAGTAGGTTTACTCTGACGACCTAGAATATACTACATAGAGTGGCTGTAGCGATGCCATATTGAAAGAAAATTGAATACACACCCGCCATTTTCCTTTTAGTCAATGGGACATACCATTTGTGTTGTGTAAAAGCAACGAGCAAGAATATTGTAACTCGTTGCGTAAAAGTGTGCAAAAGAAAGGACGAATTTTAACCCTCAACTAAGTCAAAATGACTCTACTTAGTTTTTCTTTTTTAATTTTGTAAGTGAATAACAAGACATTTCTTCCTTTAAATAAAATCTAAAAATAGCTAAATTCGATATGAAACAATCTAGATTTATATCGTTTATCTAATTGTCTAAATCCTAAATCTAGGGGTAAACAAAATAATCTAGATTTAGATAAGAAAAATAGATTCTAAAGTGACAATCCTGCCCAACACGTGGTATAGACTTCAATGTTTTGACTTAAAGTAAAATGGCGGTCGCTAGTACCCGTCGTTGCCACCAAAAGCGCTGTATCTAAGATCACATCCACTCTACGTAGTATATTCTAGATCGTGGGTTTACTCCATCAGGTTACTTTCAAGACTGCTCCTAGTAATTAACTAAAATAATTAAATTATATAATAAATGTATGTAAAATCTCTGATAAATTAAAAGGATCGTTTTTGAATATCTGAAATGTTCATGTTTTTAGTTAAATATGAATTTTCAAGAAGTCTAATTTTATTATAAGGGTATTCTAAAACACAGTGTCCCTGTTAATTTGTTATAGCCATGGTTTTCAATCTTTTCGAAGTCGGGGGAACACTAAACTTTGATGTTTTTTCCCCGCAGAACAATTACAATACATCAGCTTTAAAGCAGGGGTGACAAACCTTTTTGAAATCAAGAGCGCACTCGGTCTATTAGTGTTTGCTGATTACATTCCCATACAAAAATTATTTTACATTATATTGATTTTGCTTTTCCAACAATTTTTAATTTTATATTTGATTTTTTCGCAGAACACTTGAAGTGGCTTCACGGACCACGGATTGAGAACCACGGTGTTAAATTATTTTAAATAGAGTATATTAAAACAGTTTTCTTTCAGAATGATTAAGCCAGTTTGAGAAAATCTGGAAAAGAAGAGGAATTTACAGAACGTAATCAACTTCTATAAGAAATAAAAAGAGTTAAAATATGAGACCCAGAAAACAACTGAGAAATCAACACCAAGCCATTGCTGTGCGGCAAGTTAGGGATGAGGCGATGGCATCTTTAAGAGCATCATTCCCCGAATTTCTATCTGGTAAATATAAAAACTTAAAAATTCTTTATAATATAATTACTACAAAAGTTGTATAATAACTATACATTTCTAAACATATATTATTTTTAGATGAAGATACCAATTTCTCAAAAAAAAAGAAAACAAAACTTTCTTCACTCATACTTACAAAGCAAGCAAGACCAACAGCTTCAGTTGAAACAAGAAGAATTAAATTTAAAGAAAGAACAACTGCAGGTAGAGTTGAAAATACTGAAACTGGAACAAGAAAAATTAAATTTAGAGAGAAAAGAGAGAGAAGCAAGACTGAAGCAGGATGGAGAGGAAAGAAGATTGTTATGAGAATTAGAATTATTTATGAAACTTTAAACAAAAACTAAGTTTTTATAAAATTGAAAAAATTCTTTGTTTATTTATTGATTGCATTCTAAGTATTTGTCCAGTTTGAGGGGTAAGCAATTAAAATAATCTGATGTTGCACTACCGTATAAGCAAGTGTGACAGTTTGTAAGTAGTGCACCAACAATATAAAGTTTACCAATGGGCTGAAAAAACAATTTCAATTTTGTTTTTAAATCTAGAAAAGCAAATATTTGAAACGCCATCGTCAAACTTCTAGACTTACAAGATGGCGGCACTCGACGTTCACGTTTTAGAGATGAAAACGTTGGCCGCAACCTCTCTAATAAATAATTCTAAACTAACAATCAAGCCGGATTTATTATCAGGCTTTTGTGCTAATTACATACAGCATACAGATACTATGTAATTTGGGCTAACGGTAGTCGATTCATTTGTCATTTTATAAATTTTAATCTTCTGATATGAATAAACAATTCTATATTAATTTTAATTAAATAAAATTATAAAGGAAGAAAATGATGCATGGGGATTGGTCCAAAAAACTATGTCAATTTCTGCTACAACAACACATCACTCCTTGTGCAAGTACGAGAAGAGCCCAGCAGAAGTGCTGTCAAAGTGACGTCTGCAAACATGTCGACTTTGTGCACCCAGACCTGGCACCACCCTCTACACAAAACTCGGGACCTAGGAAACAGGTACGCACCATTAAAAAACATGCACCTGTCTACATCCGCAGGGCAAGAGGGAACTCAGAATGGATTCCAGCTGTCGTGACTCGTCGTACCGGACCGGTAAACTATGAAGTTTAAACATCACAAGGCCTCTGACACAGATACATAAAACAGATGAGATACCGCTCTTTCGTAACTCACGATGCAACGGAAAATGGCTACCAAACGCGGAACAGGAATCAGGTACAGCCCCACCAGACCATGTCGACCTGGATCACAGCTACGCTCAGCACTCACCACGACCACGTCGTACAGTCCTTCCTCCAGCATACCTGCAAGACTTTCAAACATAAGAGAAAGGGGTGTAGTGTATCTCTAAAGATATGTCGCGGCCAGGGGGCGATAGTCAGGAAGAACGTGAGTGGGGATATATTGGCGCCTTTTTTTCCGTCAGTAGTTGTATGTTTACATTATCAACGAATTAAAGACTATTTGGACTTGTTCCTGAGTGTATTATTGTCCCCGGATCTAGGATCCGGAGACAATAATACATTCCGAATTTGGATGTTCAAATCTTGGTTTATCATTAACAAATCCTATTTTCTTCAATTTATTACAAAAATTCATATATCACTTATGAACTTTTCCTCAAAATTCATTTTTTCTGATTTTATTCTATTATTTACGAGTAAACCATTCAAACTACTGTTTATCGCCACCTTTTTGTACATTGTGGCTATTCTGCAATGAAAATCATTAAAAAAATATAGTTTCTATCATCGAAACAGATAGAGATTTTATGATAAATATTATTAATGATTTTCTTACAAAACTCAGATAAATATATAATTTTTATACACACTTTTCTGATTTTCCTATTTATCAAAGTTTTCGAAATTCCATCTACATATCTACCCATAACATTCACTCGTAGCAGAGATAGAAACATAAATTTGCACTTTAACCACAGCTTTTCGGTTTGCAACATTCTGATAAGTTAAGTGAATCGAATACAAGATGAGGTCAAAGTAAATAAAGTCCTTTAATAACAATGTAAATATCTAGAATGATTTCATGAAGATCTGAAACGGAAAATTTGCATGAGATACCTCCATTATTAAAATTTTATTGTTGAGTTTTAGTAGTTATAAAAGTATTCAGTAAAACAACTTCACGGAAGTATATTAAATATCACGCTTAAAATTAGTATGCAAAGTATATTTTCAGTGCGGAAACGAAATAATGTCCAAGTATATGTTTTGTAAATGTTAATTATCGATGTTAGATTAAGCAATTTTTCATCCTTTATGCTGTTAAACAACGCCGTATATATGTGGACAAATGTGCTTTTTTTATGAGCAGATTCTAAGTGTGTTAAAAATCCTGATATTAAAACTTTATCATTTTGTTTGTCAATGTTAACTCTTTCAGTCCTGTGAGCACCCAGAGAGCCTTATTTCCATGTCAATCGTGAGTTCTGCCAAACTTACAATAGGGGGTGACTGAGTGGTGACAGACGAAACCTGACAAATCCGTAACTGATGGCCCATGCAAAATTTTCGGTATTGCTCTCCCAGATTTGATCTCGGATCTTCCAGTGGTTTGGTTTATTTAATTATGGCAACGCGACACGTGGGCGATCTGCCGAGGAGGAATGCCTCCTGGGAGGTTTTTTAAGGAAACTGGGAAGTAGTGTTTAAGTGTTACAAACATGAAGAAAACCCGGAAAACTCCACATTACCAGCAGTTGGCCAGGCGCGTACCCATGACAAATTACCAGTGTTCAATAATTTTATCCAATCGGCCACTGATACGTTAGTCCCCATAAGTTATTGTGGAGAATGGTACCACCATGGTAATACGGATATGAGCATCATTTCCCATTC